GAATTTCTTGAAAGTTATTAATAAAACAACCACTGTTCTATCACTGCTCCAGTTCAATATGCTACGGGAGGACCTCGCCCTCCCACCAAGACTACAGAATAAATAAATTAAAAAAAAAAAATGAAAAAAGAGAAACAGAGGATTTCAGAAGAAGACACAAAGCTGTCACTATTAATGGATGATAGGACTTCTTTGTAGAAAACTAGGGTAGAATCAATAAAGAAGAGAATTCTCAAGAGTTTTCTGGCTACGACCCCATCCCACAAGGCTAAGAGGCAGCTTAGTGTCAGTCATTCGAAGAAGAGAAATATTTTTTTTTTTAAAGATTTTATTTATTTATTTGACAGAGAGAGACACAGCGAGAGAGGGAACACAAGCAGGGGGAGGGAGAGAGGGAGAAGCAGGCTTCCCGCGGAGCAGGGAGCCCAATGCAGGGCTTGATCCCAGGACCCTGGGATCATGACCTGAGCCGAAGGCAGACGCTTAACGATTGAGCCACCCAGGCGCCCCTCGAAGAAGAGAAATATTAAAAAATCAATTGTGATCCTGTATGTCAGCAGAATGTCAGAAAATGTAACTAAAATTACACACACATTAATTAATCTTCATGGCGATCTTGCAAAAAGTACCACTGACCCCATTTCACAGATAAGGAGATTAAGGCTCACAAAGAACTTAAGAAATACATACAGGGGGTGCCTGGGTGGCTCAGTCGGTTAAGCGTCTGCCTTTGGCTCAGGTCATGATCTCAGGGTCCTGGGATCGAGCCCCTTGTCAGGGCTCCCCACTCGTTGGGAAGCCTGCTTCTCCCTCTCTCTCTACCTGCTGCTCCCTCTGCTTTGCTCTCTCTCTCTGTCAAATAAACAAATAAAATCTTAAAAAAAAAAAAAAAGAAATACGTCCAGGATCCCAGAGCAGGGAAAGAGGGGGGTGAGGAAAAGGGGGCACGAGTCTGCCTGAGGCAAAGCCCACACTCCTTCTACCACAGTTTTCAAGGCACGCTGATTGCCCCTGACATTTCCTGCATTTTTCAGAGCAGAGTGAGGTAGGAATAGATAGCCCAGTGCTTTTGCCAAGAAGAAAACAGCTGACAAAAGTAGATTTAAACACGGAAAAGCATATATGCGTCATGTTCCTGGATAGAAGACTCACCATCCTAAGACATCAACAAGAGTAGCCAGAAAAGTCCTAAACACGGCAAGGGCAGGGGTGCACGTGTGTGCAGTGGTGAGGGTCAGGAAGACCTTACCAGATATGAAAACACATTTTAAAGCCTCTATAATTAAACCATGTGGCATTAGCGCATGAATGGCCAGACTAATAGAACTGAATAAAAAGTTCAGAAATAAACTCAAGTGCATATGGGAATTTAATATTATAAATCAGCAGGAGAAAAAAAAAAACGGGACTTTTTATTAAATGGCTTTGGGATAATCACAGAGCTATTTGCAAAATTACAAAAATGGATTCATACCTCACTCCACATATAAGGACAAATTCCAAATGGTTGCGGAGCTAAATGCAAAAAAGCGACTTTAACAGTGGTAGTAGGATGTTAGGTGAATTCCTTTATAATCCAAGTGTGGGGAAAACCTTTCTGTGACTGACAACCCAAAAGCATGCAAGAAATGACTGATAAATTAGACTTGTATTTTTTTCTGTCATGGCAAAAATTCATATATATTGCTGGTGAGAGTACAATATGTTACCACTTACAGCAGAGGGATTTGGTAACGTCTAGAGAATCTACATAGACATTCATTGTCCGATCTACTGATCCCACTCCCAGGAATCCATCCCAAAGATTCAAGATGATTATGCAAAAGGCTAAAGACAATAATGCAGAATAATGCCCCCACCTGGGAACTCCACACCCTAATTCCTGGGACCTGTGAGTATGTTACCAGACTTTGTAGATATGATTACGGTTAAGAGCTTTGAAACAGGGAGATTATCCTGGATTATCTGTGTGGGTCCAGTCTAATCACCTGAGTCCTTACCAGTGGCCGAGAGGGAGGCGGGAGGGTGGTCACAGACAGGAGATGGAAGAAGGAGGAGGAGGAATCAAAGCCCGAGGAGGACTGGACCTGTCACTGCCGGCTCAGGGGGTGCAGGAAATGGGGCCACGGGCCAAGGAACATGGTGGCCATGGATGCTGGGGATGGTGACGAGCAGCTTGGTTCTAGAACCATGAGGGGGTGAATTCTGACAACACGTGAATGAGCAAGACCAGCGATCCTCCTCTAGAGCCTCCACAGGGACAGAGTCCTCCCAACACCCAAAGCCCAGGAAGCCCATGTTGGCCTTGTGACCTACAGATGTGTGAGCCAGTGCAGGAGGGCTGTTTGAGACACTAAGGTTTTGGTCATTTATGCCGGCAGAAAGAAAAGGGGTGTGCACCGCTGGGCGAGCCCTGGCACGTGGGCACGGGGAGGATTGCGTCTGCGGGAAGGGATGAGGAAGATCTGCCTGCAGGACACGCAGGGTCTTCAGGACGTGGCGAAGAGAGCTGGGTGCTGTGTTCTGAGCAACAAGCAGGGAACACAAACGTGTGTATTTGCTTATGTTGCCAAAAACAAGAAAGGGTAAACTGAAAACCTAATATGGGGCTTTTGGGGGACAGAGACCACAGGGTAAAGGGGGAAAGAGGAACAGGAATGTTTCTGAATAGACCTGTTTTATGGTTTTGACTTTGAGCTCATGTGAATGAGTTACATATTGGAAAATGAATTAAATTTCAGGCATTTTAACAATTTTTTAAAGTAAAATGGTTTTTCAAGAAAGCAGCCATTAAAAAATGGAAGCAAAAGAACAGAACGAAACCCAACCCTGAAATGAATGAACCCAGTTTTGTATGAAGTTAGTGATATAACCACACAGAGAAAACAATTTAGAACTCCATACTTTGAATGCACATCTATAGCTTAATACAGCCCAAGGACAAACACTTAGACACTGCATTCAGTAGTCTTATTGTGAGGAGTACCATTGAAATTACCATTGTGAAACTCTTTGTACAAGAGTAGGAGAAAGAACCTAAGTAATGATGTTAATATTTCTAAAAACACAATTTTAGAAAAAAGGTATTTCAACGGTAAATCCCAAGTTAAAGTAATCTTAAGTTTGACAGGAAAACCAGCATGGACTCATGATGCTTCCTTTCTCTGTCCCCTGGAAAGGTCTAGAATGACCCGCTTGAGGCAATGAGCACCCCTTCCCCACCCTCAGTGCCCAGACTCTGGTCTTTAAACACCATCTGACACTAAACAAAACCAGATGGGAATGACTCACTCTGAGCTTGAGCTGTGGGGCAGGAAGGCACAGGACGATCCCGGGACACCTTGCTGTGTACGAAATCATCAAAGATTGGTATCTCCATGTCAGCAAGCCCAGAACATGGAGGGCTACCCACTGGCCAAGATGGGCCGAGGTTAGGTTCACAAAGAATAATGACTGCAGGTGATGGAAAGGCACTGAATATATTTCTAAAAACTATACTCTCATATTGATAATTCAGGAAAAGAGATAGCAGGGATAAGGGAGGGAGGGAAGGAGGGAGGGAGGAAGAAGGAAGGAGGGAGGGAGGGAGGGAAGGAGGGAAGGAAGGAAGGAGGGAAGGTGGGAAGGAAGGAGGGAAAGAGGGAAGGAAGGCTCGCGACTGAGTTCTGGTAAACAGAGCCCACACAGAAGTAGTGCGCTCCCGGCTGGCCCCAGAGGCACGAAGGAAAGCCCCCGTTTGGGGAAGTCACCAAGATGTTGGTGTTTCCACGTCACTGCCTCCCGGCCGAGCCTCACACGTGGGTCTGAAGCTTGCAGACCTGCGTCTTTGGCGTTCACGGGGCATGGAGTCATGATGCCGTGGACGGCACCACATGCTTCTGTATTCCCTGCCCAGCTATGTCTGATGGACCTTGAGGCGCTAGAATTGGTTCTCATGAGATAAAGTGATTTTTCTCCTGTATTCTCCTCTATGCTTCTTAAAGTTCACTTTTATCATTTTGGTTTTCATTCCCTGGGGACCTGTTTTCAATTTGATGTGAGATAGGGATGTGCTGTTGATTTTTTCCTAAGGAAACAGATGTCCCAGCCCCTTCTATCGATGTGCCTCAACCAGCTGGTTTGCACTTTCAGATTCCTGCATCCGCTTTCAGAAATTGTGGCTTAATGAATGTTTTGAGGATGTGTGTGGACTTGGTTCCCTAATTTATGGCCAATTTCTGAGAGTGAGTTGTCTTACAACAGAATACAAGCACAGCGATGAAAGTCACTGGGATTTTACTAGACACAAGAACTATTCTGACACTTTCTACAACCAGAGTTTGTTTCTTTAGCTTTTTATCTCCTGCTCTTGTTGGAACTGGAACTGTGGCTTGTGTGGTGCTCCCCAGTCCCAGGGAACCCCGTGTCCGGGACCCTGTGGGATGTGTGCCCGGGGCTCCTCGAGCCCAGTGCCCCCCACTCTTCCCCACACTGGCTCCAGCCCTCGGGCCTCCCTGCTGGTCCTCGACTGTGATGTGTGTTCTTTTCTCCCAAGACAGAAATTCCTCCTTTTCGCATACTGCCTGGAAGAGTCTTGGGCACAAACATGCTCTCTACGTGTTGCGGATGCACTCCCTCACAGGATAGACGAGTTGTACCAAAAAATCATCTTATTTGTACATTTGGTAGCTTATTGTTGTACGGAATTCAAAAGAAATAAATCAACTATGCTATGCAATTTGGGTACCTAGTTGGAGCCAAAACTCGAATGTGAAGCCCTCTTATCACTCCTTTTAAGGTCCATTCAGACCACAGCCTAACATCCTGTCTCTCTTCCCTTTCCACATCCCTCCCCTGGTAGCCCATTGTCTCCAGTCTCTGGCTCTCATCCTCCAAACCCCTGTCCCGGGAGCCACTGTGCCCCCGACCAGCCATTCTGCAGACACATCGGTCCCCTGCCTCCCACACGCAGGCCCTGACTCTGGAAACCCCGCCATCCCTCCGAGGAGAGCATACCTGACCCTCGACGATCCACCTGGAGATGGAGGTCTTCCCATCGTAACCTGGTCGGAACTGGAGTGTGGCTGAGCGGGGGCTGATGTTGGAAATGACCAAATTGGACGGGGCGCCAGGGAGCTCTAGAGACAAAGGAGAGATAAGACATGGAGATGCAAGTTCTGACAGCTTAGGAAATGCACCAAACACGTCGGCGAGTAAATGGTTTCAAAATACCTGGATTTGTTTTCAAAACCACATAAGTGAGAAGCACCGCTTCCTGGGGAACATGACCCCCGCACTATCCTTACGTTCAGGGGCCGCACATCAGGCCCCATGCCTCGGAAGTGAGATGAGGACACATATTCATGTGGCCTCTGGATGATCCTCTCTGAAGATCAGGACTTACTCACCTCCATGCACAGCAGGTAATTAATAGACACTCGTTGAAAGAAAAAAGGATGAACGGATGTGATTCTTCCAGGCTCCGAAAAGAACATGACCAAATGTCCACCCTCCCCTCGGTGATGACCGTGATGCCGGGGAAACAGAGTGGGGCGCGCGGGAGACAGCAGGTGCCTGAGTCCTAGGCCCCAGGTCTGGTTTCCAAGACAACCACATTGAGGTGAAGGAGCGGAGCTCTCCCCGCTCTGCCTGAGCTCAGCTGCTCCTGCAAGTGAATGGCGGGGAGGGGGTTCTGATGGGCTCCCATCCTGGGAGGTTAGCTGGGGCTGCAGCCCATTCACCGAGTACAGACCTACGGCAGGCTGCCCCCGCCCCCCGCAAACAGCCTGCCCCGCTCAGAAGTGAAATGCCACGAGTCTGAAATGCAGCCTCTTGTCTTACTGGGCAACACCAGCTACTCTAGACAGTGGGATGGAAGGAAGGGAGAGGGACCTCGAGCCGGAAGCGGGAGCCGCGTGCTTCCTGCACGGTGTCTGAGGGACACCTCCTGGTCTGCCCGAACCGGGGGTGGGGGGGTGCTGGAAACCCAGACTTGCACGGGGCTAATCAACCCTAATCTCAAGGGGCCTTTCCACATCTCGTGTAGTGAATCTGAAGCAGAAAAGGTTGAAATCGAAGGACAGTGACTCTTTGTCTCTGCTCACTGGCTTCTCTCAGTGGTGTTCCAGACATTAACGGATGTGGGGTTCAAGCATGGCCAGCGGGATACGGCCTCCAGAGAGACGGTCGTTGTGCGTTGGCTTCCCGCGAACTCGCAGGGTGCCCTGGGATCCATCCCCGGCTACGGGTGACCTGACCTCTGGGAAAGCAGCGGCCTCTCCACAGCTTCCCTCACCTTAGCTCTTCAGGGTGTGCTTGGCACAGCGGGGCCCTCTGCCCTCGAGTTCTCACTCTGTGGTGCCTCCGGAGGAGCGCCCGCCTGCTCCCCGCCGCGGCTAGACGGAGCCCATGCCGTCCCGGGAAACCTGCTCACACGTGGCGGCGCTCCCCGCGTTACTGTCGGCCTCTGAGGGACAGTTCCAACAAGTCCCGCATCAGGCCACCACCGCTAGTTATTAGAGCGTTAGTAGTGTTGTTTTTTTCAGAGAGAGAGCACACACAAGAAGGGAGGGGCAGAGGGAGAAGCAGAGAGAATCCCCAGCAGGCTCCACGCTCAGCCCGGAGCCCGACGCAGGCCTGAGATCGTGACCCTAGCCAGAATCAAGAGTCGGACGGCCAGTCCACCAAGCCACCCAAGCACCCCTAGAGTGTTAACAAGGTTTTAAATGTGTGCTGTGGGAACGGGCTGTTTACATAGAATAAACAAATCTTCCCGTAAGCCAAAAACTTCTTTCTTTAAAAAAGTAAACATATCTTGTCAATGCCTTTAAGAAACACCAGATTGCCTCAAAGTGTGGTCCCCAGTGAGCAGCATCTGCATGCCCGAGAACCCGCTCCGGAGGCAAATCCCACACTGGGGGGCCCAGCAGTGTGCTTTATGAGGGGCCCCTGGGATGCTGCTGTGGGGGACGGTGCCCCACTGCTGCCTCGGGCAGGGCGTGGTGACCGCTGATCGGGGACAGAGGATTGTTGTGGGACACCTCCCCGGTGGGCAGGGCAGGTGGCGACTGGGGTCTACAAAGTGTCCTATGAGGTCACCCTGCTCAGGGGGAGGAAGTACCATGCCTCCTCCTCTGACACCACACACAACTCGGAGGACTGCCCGGCTCTCTCCAGACGCGGTCCCTGTGAGGGGCACACACTCATCCCTGTGCTGATTCCCTTCTTTACTGTATGCGTTTTATGTGCTTGCATCCCGTCCAAGAGAACAGTTGGGCTCTGAACATGGGTCTGGAGGTGGAGGGCATTATAGGACGAAGTGCTGATTTCGGAGGGAGCTTCAGGGCCTTATCCTCAAAGACCAACCCGCATGAGGCAAACTGACATCTTTTAAAGAGCAAGAGACCCGCAGCTTTAATGAGAGAAGTGAACCCAGAGCCACCCCACAATACTTCCTCACATTCCCTAGTATTTGTGAATTCCCAGGAAAAACACTTATTTTAAATATAAATTTTAAAATCAGAGAGAAAAGAGTTGAGTGCAGAGCTCTGAGGCTGAAATGAGTGAGCTGCACGTTTAGGAAGATAATCTGAATTTCAAAAAGGACAGGACAGCAGGGATCACCAGCTGAACGCCCTCCGCAGCCCGCAGGGACGCATCTGCCTCCCTCTGTCTGGAAGATCCCTTGCCTCCCACCTCCTCCTACTCCCTTGTCTTATCGCAAACCACAACTCCAGTGTTTCGCTGAGTGAATAAAGCTTTATGCTTCCTGTTCTTGGTTTTAATATCCCAACCATCTCCCTGCAGGGCAGGAGCTCGGGGCCAGCTTGCTCCCTGGGACACGTCCCTCCAGTCCACATCCCAGCTGCAGACGCTGGAGGACAAGGCCCACATTGGGTCATGGTCCACTCATCACCCCACTGCCCCTGCAGGAAGCGGACACCCCTCTTCGAAAGGACCCCGGGCCCGCACACAGGGCTGCCATCCACCCAGAGCACCAGCAACCTCGGAGTGCCCTGCACTTAGAGGGTTTTACTGACCTGGCGGCACTCCAGAAGAAATGGTGGACGAGGTGGCCAGGCCAGTCCCCGCGGCGGTGACAGCGGCCACATCAATGGTGTAGGTGGTGAGTGACGACAATCCTCTGATTTTGTACTCGTGAGTCGTGTTACTGAGGGTGTGGGTGAGCCGGGAGCTGTTCCGACCGTACACCTCCCAGGAAACCTGGTAGCCTGGGGAGCGAGAACGCAGGGTGAGTTGGGCCGTCCAGATGCTGCTGTTGCCATGGACGATCTGAAACAGCAGGTGTGCTGAAGCCGGGCGGGCACCCGCTGCCCTGCCCACACGAGACTCCGGGCCGGGCCCTTCCTCCGTCCATGGGGTCCCTGTCCCCCCGCCCCCCAGCACCCGAGCTGGCTTGAGGAAAGAGGAGTGATGGCTGCCAGCCTGTGGTGCCTGATTTCACCTCGTGTTAAACTGTGGGTACATGTCATCAATATTTCCATTTTTATACGCTGGTATTTTCATTATACACTATTCTAAATCAGGAGCTTGCTCCTGGCTTGCCACTAATTTGTGGAAACAGTGCCACTTTTTCCCTCCTGAAATGATTGATAGACGCTCTCTCCCGCGCAAAGTGCTTTCCCAAAAAATCCCTCTCTGCCTGAGTGCCTGAGTTCTGCTGCATCCCCACTTTCTGAACCTCCTGTTTTCCTGGCAAAATGTGATTTTCCCCTGGTCTCTGTTCAGTCCAGTGGGGCCTCGGGACCACAATTTATTCAGCCTCGGATTCCACCGCAACTTTAGGCTCAGAGAAAAAAAACCCAGCAAGATCCTGAATCAACCCCCATGGAAGGGAGTTGATGTGGTTAGAGACCCGGCAGAGAGTCTCCTAAAGCGGGAGACAGTGATGGAAGGTGCTCGCGGGTCCCAAGGCAAGGGGAACAGCTCAAAATGCTTTTGCTCTTCCTTCTTCCCAGTCAATAAACTCAGGGATACCGAAGCACCAAGAGGCGTCTTAAAGCTCATTGTGATGAAAGCAATAAATATGGTTAGAAACTTGTGCTTGCAGGTAAACAAGAATTTAGAGAGCATCTCGGGAATTTAATATTTTGAAAAAAAGATTAATGTCAGAAGCTGCTGCCCGTCTGCAGTCCCACAGCGCACAGGCTGGGCGGTGCTGACCAGACATCCAACGAGGGCAGCAGAGGGGCACTGGCCATGGCTGCCTCCGCGTACGCGGCATCTCCCCCATTACCTTCTGGTCTCCACCCAGGCCCCTGTGCTCCACGCAGCCCATGTGGGCCGTGGGCACCCCCGGACTTCGCCTCTCTCACACGGTGCTCGGGCTGGTGGACAGCCCACTGCCCTGCTCCCTCCGGACCTCAGACTCCCTCCTCGCCCTCCCCACACCCCACATCCAGGCTCCCCCCTCCTCAGTGCACCAGACCAATCATTCTTTTCATTTTGTTAATTCAGAATTTTGGATCTAATGGCACAATTAAAAATCAAGCCTTCTGGGCAATGAGTATCTATAGCTTCAAGCACCCAGAGTGTTCCCAATGTTCCTGTGGTGTTCCGAGCATGTTACCTACATTAGTTCATTCGGTCCTCACAGCAGAACTTCCAAGTCACTAACCCTGTTTGCAGTGGAGAACACGAAGGTGCAGAGAGGTTCATGAACTTGCTGGAAGCTGGCAGGGGTTTCTAGGGTCGGCCTGGGCTCCACGCTTCCCCACAGAGCCTCCGCCCACAGCCTTCTCTCTGAAGTGCTGATGTGCGCGAGCGCACTTGACTGCCCCCAACCTCGGTGGGTCACACCTGCTACGTCGCTGAACGGTTTGATCCTCGGAGTCTTCCCTGAACGTACAGGAGGACAGGGCTTTGTTTTATGTTCCAAGCTTGTCTGCCAGACAATTTTATTTGTTTAAAAGCTGTTCTTGATAAAAATTTACGAAAACACAGCATGTGGCTCGTCACGGCAACCTGGATCCCAAATCCAGCGCTTCCAGCATCCACGGCAGGGCAGCGTTGCTGGGGTCTGTTACGTCAGGCTCGTGGGTGGGCCGGCATTGTGGACGCAGACAAGACACAAGCAAAGCCCCCGCGGCAAGAAAGCGGGGCCTGGACGCATCGCGGGGAACGGCGCGGGAGGCTTGCCGCACAGGGATGGACAGAGAGCAGGGGCTGTGGCGGGTGGAGGGGCGCTCGGGTTCCTGCACTGCTCCTTGGGGGGCGGCGTGGGGCGCAGGGCATGGCAGCTCTGGCCCCAGGAACGTTTCGCCTGCTCCAGCAGAGGTGGAAGGGGCCTAGCCGGCGCCGGGCGCCTTCAGCGGGCGGGTGTCCTACCTGCTCCGAATGCGGCCTAACCGAGACTAACGACCGCGGGAGCTTCAGAAATAATTTTCTGTTGATCTGAAGTAAATTCTCTACAAGAGAGCAGTACATCCAATCACAAGCTGTCCGTCTGCATCCTGGCCCTCATAAATCAGAGTTTACGCAGGGAGAGTGGAAGATGCTGGAATTCACATCAAGCACAATGGGCAATTCGCTCGGCGGACCGGATGCCCCTGCTCGGGGCGCCCTCTCTTTCTGGCCCCGACCTGACAGGGAGGCCCGGGGCTGCTCACTGTGCCTTGTGGCTGATAAGGAACGGCTTCCCCTAGGTGTCTGGACCACCCGGCGCCCCATGCGGAGGACCACGCCAGGCCGCTGTCTGCCCTGCAGCCTCTCCAACAGCAGCTGCATTAACAAGGAGGCTCCGGAAGGACATTCCGTGGTTTTCCGAGGCCGGCTTTGCCCATAGACCAGGCTTTTCTTCTGCTCCTCCGTGAGATACGCCGCCTGGAGCCTGGGATAGACTGTGGTGTGCTGGCACGCCCCGCCCGGGGCCCCGTCCGTGGGGGGTGCTGACCTGTGTGTGGGGGCCGAGCGAATGCCTCCCTGAGGGCAGGGGTCACCGGGGAGGTGGCTGGACGGACGAGCACTGAAGCCCAGGAAACCACCGCTGGTGGGTTCAGCTCCCGTAGGCCCTCTTCCTCCGCAGCCTCCCCCAGAGCTCCTGGGACCCCGGGCACACTTCATAGTACACTTGGAAAAGGCGACAGCACAGGCCAGACCAAGCAAGATGGGGACCGTGCGGCCGCTGGGAGGGAGGGGGACCCCAGCGGGTGGCCGTCAGAAGGCCAAGCTCCACATAGACTATAGGCTGCTGCTTGTAACGACACGGGTTTGTTTAAATAGAATACGAAAATGAGTTCATTAAGCCCTATTAGCTGGCGAGAACAGAGGATCATAAATTGGAGTATTGGCAAGCACCGCTCAGCCGGGAAATGCTGGCCCTGCTCGGGGAGGACGTGCGCCCGTGGACTTCCCCAAAGATTTGCAGCAGGAGTGAGGTGTGGGTGTGTTCTCGAAGGACCACACGTGTATCTGAAGGAAGGGAAGTCTCCGTGTGCATACGTCTACCCAGGAGCCCTAGCCAGGCTTCTGAGGCTCAGCCGGCGGGACACCCACGGGCGGAGCAGGCAGCCGGATGCTCCGCTTCCGAAAGGGATGGTGAGCGCAACCCTCGTTCCAGCCACAGGACCGACTGGTCCCCAAGGGCTCTGCTGGAGACTCTCTGCTTCCAAGGGCGGCCTTCCGTTTTGCGCTTTTGGTGTTTTGTTTTTCTCTTTTCTCTAGCACTGCCTGGCTTCCTTTGTCCTCCCTCTGTATGGCTTAAAGCCAAGTCGAGCGCAACAGGCTCTCTTCTCTGCCCATCCCCCACCGTGTTCGGTCCCTCTGCTGCGGGCAGCGGGAGCCCTCTGTGATTGTACGTACTCACACTGGCGATCCTGTGCTGAGAGACTGCGGAACACACGTCCTGGGTCCTGCGGTCCCGTTCCAGCAGCGGCTCCCCCTTCCCGGAGTTACATTGTTGTTCACCATGGGTCCTGAACACACGTCGTGGGTCCTGCGGTCCCGTTCCAGCAGCGGCCCCCCCTTCCCGGAGTTACGTTGTCGTTCACTGTGGGTCCTGAACACACGTCCTGGGTCCTGAGGTCCCGTTCCAGCAGCGGCTCCCCCTTCCCAGAGTTACATTATCATTCACCGTGGGTATTTCAAAGCATTAGCTCTGAAGGCCAACCCAGACCCACACACGTACTCTGGTTAAAAGTTAGGGGCACAGGCGGCTTCAGAGCAGGGTGACCTCTGGGGCGTGGTCTGTAGGGGGCTCCGGCCGAGCACAGGAGACTATGGGTGTTTTGTGGACAAAAAGTAGGAGGCGTTGGCACCAGGAGGGGACACTGCCTGGAGCGCCATAAACAGCACGGGGACACAGTGATGCTGGGCACCTCCCACCTGTGTCCCCAGAGGACGACGGGGAGCTCGAGCTTGAGCTGTTCCCAAGGTCAGGGTCAGGGTGTGCCATGCACCCGTCTGGGACACATCCTGTCTTTGCGAAGCTGAGTTTCTGGTGGTTTCTGTGAGATAGGAGCAGGTATAGCATGAAGACTGATGTGGGAAATTAAGGTGGTGGGGTCCACTCCGATCCCACATTCAGGAAGGTGGGCAGAGCCTGATCCAATCAGGAACATCAGGAACACACATCCTATTAGCTTGAAGAAGAAATACAAATGTTTTTTTCTTTCAGTTCATTTCAAACAGCTGTTGTTAGTGTATAAATCAGGTGTTTGCACCAAGTGACCTCCAAAACAGCTGTGAAGGGCTTCTTTGGCCCTGGTATCTTGAGAGACTTGGTGAGAGGCTGTGAGCCCAGGAAGATGGGAACCTCTCTCTGCTCTGGGGTTAGTAGCACGGTTCGAACCCCACTGTCAGCACACTGAGGATGTAGAGGCCAGAACACGGACACTCGAATCCCTGTGCTGGCCTGGTCCCCTGCTGGCCATGGGGCCGTGGGACAGCACCACCCCCAGTCTCAGACGGGGGTTGTAGGCGGTGCTTCGTGGTTGTTTGGACAAACAAACTGCTGCTGCCTGGACACGGCGGGGGAAGGGCCCTGAGCCCCGAGGCCAGGCAGGGGGGACAGACCTCACTGCTGGTCTCCCTGGTGCACCTGCTAGTGTGGGTGGGCTCCCACAGGCTTCTGTGGGTGGTGGGGCGAGGGACAAGGAACGTGGCCCAGGCTCCGAGCAGACTCACAAGCAGGATGGATGCGACTCGCTCAGGAGCTGGGTCCCCTGTAGCCTCGGGGTCCAGGCTTAGAGGGCAGAGGCAGAAGCCCCGGACGTGACGGGAGGTGTTGCAGGAAGTCCCAGAGAGCGCCTGCCACAAACTACATGTCCCACACCGAGCGGCTGGCTTGACATTTCAAGTAACGTTCTCGAAACAGATGGGGCCACTGGCGGCCGTGGCCTTGCTGCCTCGTCCCTGCAGCCCCATGAAGAAATGGAGGGCCTGGGAGGCAAGGTGAGGCTCCCACCTTCCCCTGAGACCAAAGCCACCCAGAATTTTGTTTTTCAAACCAAGACTTAAATTAAGCTTTAATCTGAAAGGTTAAAGCTCTTCTGTTTGAAAAAAATCATCAAAGCCCCACAAGAGACACCTGCAGCCCGAGAGGGGTCTGTCTGGGCGCCTGGCAGGCTGGCTGTCCTCACCTTGGGTCCCAGGGGGCACTGGGTGGAGGATTAGGGGCGCCGGAGCCAGGACACCCGGGCTCCGCTGTGGCGCCCTGGTTTAGGCGGGGAGGGACCTGGCCACTGCCAGATCGGCAGCATTTCAGTGCGGGGTCTGCACCCGGTCGGCATCCGACGCACGTGTGCTGAAGGCGGGCCTCTCCGGGCCTCAGCTTCCTCTGCCAATGGGTCATGATATGGGCACAGACCTTGCCGCGTTGCAAAGAGAACCGTGAGGGACGGTGCGTGTGAGGGGATGTGCCATGAAATGCGGATTCTCCCTGAACAAAGGCTTTGGAGGTTTGTTAAGACAAGACTCGGAGGCCACAGCCCATGCAGGGACATGCCCCGCAGGAGGTGGGGTCCCGGGGGCACGGTGCCGGGTGTGGTGACTGAGCCCTCTGCCAACGGCCAAGCAGACGTGTCCACCTCCCAGAGGCCTCTGGTGCCCGTGGCCCCGGCCAGCTGGGCTGTTTGCAGCAATGCCCATGTCCCTTGTTGGGGCCAGCTTATTTTTCCTTTTTCCAAGACAGGGATACTAACCTGTAATGATACCATTCTTCTCCAGAGGCTCCTGCCAGCTGACCTTGAGGGATGTGTCCAGAATCTCCGTGAAACTCAGATGTCCTACAGCTCCTGGTTCTAGCAATCAAAAATAAAGTCACCTGTTAATACAAGAGCCCCTTTTTCTTTGGGTCAGATGTGTGCGGAAAGTTCTAACCAGGGAAGGGAAGTGGGAGCCTGGGCTGGGGCCCGCAGGACGGACTTGAAGGAAATGCCAGTAAAAACCCAGAAGAGGGGAGGGAGTTCGAGGTGCAGAAGGCATCCTGGTTCTGGGCACATAAATTGTTTTATCAGCTGCATCCCAGCCATGCGGAGAACCAAAGACAGGCAAGAGACATACACACCTCCTTCCCCTTGATCTACTCTAATGAGAGCAAGCAGGCTGGCTGGGTCCTGAAAAGCAGTGGCTAGCGCCCAGCGTCCCCGGGCATGCCTCGCAGTGAGCATCTGGCTGGTGTGGGGTCCCTGCTCTGTGCAGCCAGGCCTGCCTACCCCTGGCCGCAGGGCGACACCTGCAGACCCAACCCAGAGCTCCAGGCTCCCCGCCCTGCTCCCCCCGAGGGGCTCCACGGGGCCGGCGCTGTGAGAAAGATCCAGCAAGAATGCGCTCCTTTGCCAGGAGTTTCTTTGTGCGCGGCGGTTCTCTGTGACGCAGGAGGGCAGAGGCACGGCGTTGTGCTTTAACAAGGAGCTGCTGGGTTGGAGGCCTGTCCCCGGACGTTAGCTGCTACTCTTAGTTCCTAGTTGTCTTACTAACCCAACACAAAGTCATTTCTCAGAGGAAATGTCTGCCACTTTGGAAAGCACCAGAGTAAAAGTCTGAGAGGCCCACCGTGAGGTGAGCAGTCCAAGGTCACAGATATTCAGCTCCAGGAGCCCTGACGAGCCTCCTGCCCGGACCCCTCGACCTCTTGCAGCTGTGGCTTGCAAGGTCAGGCCAGGTCAGTGAGGACGCGGAGCCCCTGCTTGCAGGCCCTCTCATAGGGCTGCTTCCTTCCCACTCTGTGGGGGTGGGCCTGGGGGGTGCAGAGGGAAAAGGAAGTGCTTTACGGGAGGCTGGAGTCTGGGATGGCCTGGGGATGGGAGTGAGGGAAGGGACAGAGATGGGCTCCACCGCTGACGGAGCCGGGTGTGGGTCAGCCGGCCATTTCCTGCAGCTAGTGGGGCTGCTGGCTCAGGTTTGCTTTGCTTCCTCTGCAAGGCCCCACAGGCCTCCCCCTCCCCGTGCCCAACCCCAGAGACTGCACTTGACCGAGTCAGGGAGGAAAGAGGGGAGGATTGCGGGGCCAGAATCAGAGACAAAGGAGGAACAGAAGGAGAGGGAGAGGAGCCAAGGGACCCACTTGCTCAGCAGAGACCGATTAAGCACATGCCCCATGCCCAGCGGGGACACCAGCCTCCTCCTGAGCTGCCCCTGCCTCGTGACTCCCTGCTCGGGCCCTGAATGTGCTACACCGAGATCTTTTTAATCACATACCACGATGTAATATTTCAAGCTTAAAATCGGAGACCATGAAGACAAGGGTGTCGGTTGTCCTGCCCAAGAGCAGAGTTGGGGGCATCCCCGCAGAGAAGCCTCACCCCTGTTCTGTCGGTCTCGCTTGCCCAGATGGCGGATTCAGTACCTGCTTCTCAGCTGGTACCTGGACAAAGCCTCCTAACACAACTTCTGATCAAAAAAAAAAAAAAAAAAGATGGAAACAGCCTCAGCAAATACACTCATCTGGGTGAAACTTTCAAGATGTTTTATGGATGAGCTCAAACACCGACAAAGGCCACTCTCTGAGCGGGGGAGATGGTCACATAGAATGGCTGTCGAATCCAGCTCATCCTCCTCCAGGTTTGAGTTTCCAGAAAGACATTCTGGTGGATTTTTTAACAGACTTGCTCTTTTTTCCATTGATAGAGCAGCAAAGAAATCTTTTTGCTCCTTTTATATTCTCAGTGTTTCTGCTGCTTGGATTCCTGCCCAAATGTGCTGTCCTCTAGCTCTGCTGGAACCAGCTGACAACGTCTAGGCTTAAAATTTATATTTTGTTTCCTCTTTACTGGTTGCCCGCCCTCCCCATGCCACCCCCGAGTTCTTGCCCCGTATCGCGTCAGAGCTTTGGAAAAGGAGGCCTGCAGGATGCGGAGCCAAGGGAGCCAAGGTACCTCAGCCAGGGAGCACGGGGGGGCCGTGCCTCCAGCACCCGCCGGGCCAAGCCATCCGCCCTCCCTCAACCTGGCCGTGACATAGTCCATGCTCTGAACAGCATCAGTAGGCTCCCCAGCTACTGAAAAATGGTGACTCTGTTAGAAAAATTCTAAAAAGATGACATCACTTCCAGTTTTCTCAATTCCCAAGAAAGAAATTTCCAGTTTCTCTTTTTACCTACTAATGGTGGGCAAAAATGCACTTAAGGTTCTGTTTCCTGGCCACGGAGCTTAACAGATGTCTCCCCACCATGTCTGTCTGCTTGCTTAACTGGCAACAACTGGGATTTTTTTTTTTAAGCAAAGAATTCAGCCAGGAGTCTTCTCTCTTTTCTTTGGAAGGAGTTACTTTCTTCTGCCACTTTGTATTTTTAATAAACATCCTCTGAAAAGTGAAGTCTGATATCCACTTGGACCAGGCTGTGGCTTGAGCAGAGGTGTTGTCCTGGCCTCTTCTTTGAATAAATGAAACAGAGGAAAACGTCCACATAATGAAGAGGTATGTGCATAAGGGGGGTGCTGTAACATTTGTCCCCTAGCACTGCCTTCCCCACCCCATCTACACATGTAAGGGGGCTGGGTTGAGCCTTCCTACAGATGAGTGCAGAAAGTACCCTTCATCCAAGCCAGGCTCCTTCCTCCTCCGAGACCCCGCGCGGGCCCCCTGCGCAGCCCCTCTGCACCCTTAGTCCCACACGACTGGCCCAGAGCCCACCAGCGTCACCCTTCTCTTAGCCCCCTTGTCCTACACTGCCCACCTGATCCCTACAGCGATTTCATCTGCTTAGGGGGCTTTAACTGCTGGGGACCTTGGAGCTCAGACACCCTGAGGTGGAACGGATTTCAGATATTTCCATCTGGGGTTAGACCACATATTCAATTACCTTCCCTAACCCTTTCCTGGAAAGTAAGATCACAATCACAAATTGTTAGGAACCCCCAACCCACTTCAGGCACCCAGGCCCAGACGCCCCACAGCCACTGCACACCGTGTGCGTCCCAAGTCGGCGGAGCATCCTCACCCAAGACCGTGTCCCACACTTCGACTGCTGGCATCATCACTACACAGTCACATCAACCAAAGCACGTTGAGTCATCGTAGATAATTCCTTCCACCCCTCTATTAATGAGCCTCCAAATTCCCCGTGACATGTCTTCAGGATCCATCTCCCCTTACCACTGTCCCCACAGCATGGGTGTGGGCTCTCTTAATCTTGTGCCTTCTTCCCAGCTTCCTTCACCTTTACCTCCAGTGCATCCTCACAAACCCCAGACAGAACTTCTGAAACATGGATTGATTCAAATAACACCCCTCATGGAGAACCTTCTGTGGGTCTGTCCAAGTGCCTGAACTTAGCAGTTGAGACTCTTCTGACTCTTGTTTTCTGGAGCTC